TAATTAAGTTTCAAAGGCCAAAGTAAAGTAAAAGTGTCATATAAATATGTTAACGTGTATCCGAGTGGCTAAATAGATGTCACGTGATACTCAATAGTTTGTGCCAACTAAATCTCAACAAAAACAACAACAACGACGACAACGAAACGTATAAAAGTGAATTAGACTGAGCGTAGGCAACCCGAGTGTGATCAAGAGGGTCGGACTACAACAGAAATCTTACACTTAATTTCATATAACAAATATTGCACTTTCTTTGTTCAATATAACTTATTCGCCTCCAAATTCAGAATTTGCCCGTTCATATTAAGCAAATATTAATCGACTACGAGGGTAATGGTGCAAACTATCATCGCCGAGATCACCGTGGCGATGATAGTTGTATCCATTGACCGAGTAAAGGAGGTTAATATTTGTTTTATATCCCACATCGGCAATAAGGTATATTCAAAGTGAATTTTACATAATTAAAACAACTGATTTTGCAGACAGTTTAGCTTCAGCTAGATTTTACAAAGCACAGCATGCGTACATGTAATACAGTCGATGCGCGCTCATTTGACATTGACATTGACTTTGACATTTTGCGTAACCTACTTTGCTATGCTTATTCAATGCGCAAGTCGCGCAAGTGGGGCAGCAGCAAAAAATTACTTTACAAAAAGACCTATCTCAGGTAGATAGTACTTATCTATACTCTTTTCGTGCTCTGTACAATCGCAATGCAAACAACTATACATGCCAGTGAGGGATATAGTTTCTTATATTGAAGGCTGGATCGTGCAATATTTGTTTTAGTTTGAGCGCGGCACTGCATTTAAATTACGAATTATCACAATATACTTGTTTTAGAGACGGTGATGTTTTGGTTTACTTTCCCCGTAATTCTAGGTGTCTGATGTGTATGTTTACCACTGAGAACATGATAAGATATTGACATCACCTCAGGCGGCCATTAGCTGTCTAACCTGGTTGTCTTATCCATGCTTTTAGCTTAAGAGGTACAGGCAATACCCGCTATTGCGAGACCAATATACCAAGTCGGTTGCCCTCACTTAGAATGTACCCATTCATGTTAGCTATGTGAGAAGAAGTGAAAAACGAAGGCAATAGAATGTTGTTGAGAAAATTAAAGAAGAAACTACGAAGGAAGGCAAAAGGAGACAGCCCTTTAAAAAGTGGAAAAGGATTCGTTATCAAAAACTGTAATTTAAGTTGAAATGAATGGGCTATGCGTTTTTGTCAAGCATCTTAAATTCATGCACTGCATTTGCATAATGTAAGAATATTATAGAACGTAAAGATGAAAGAGAATATTAAAACTTGATAAGTTTGGGGTTAGGTTTGGGGTAAGGTAGGTTTGTATAGTAACGGGTTTCAAGTTTTGGATGGTGTTAAACATTGCCCCCTTATTTGCCATATTGAGCAATTGTCGCCGGAATATATTTCGTACAATCGGATCAAATACATGAATGCATCGGGGAAACCTATACAAATCAATGCTTCTGCTATAAAGATGGCCATGATAAAATAGATCGAGGCTAGAGATTGTATTCAGCTACTTTGACTTGACTGTAAACATTGTGAAGTGTAATATCGGCGGCATATAGGCGACATTTCCCCGGTGACGCGGGCTCGTGTAAGCTGTCGACGGATGATTGTTGGGTAGAGAGGGAAGTTCTCCAAGCATGAATTATGCACAATTCGTCGAGACAACCAAGCCGTGTCACAACATCACAGCCGCAAGATACCTAATATATATGGACGTGTGTACGGTGGAGGGTGAACATGGTGATGGGAGTGGAAGGAGAAAGTGAGGGTAGGAAGAAAGAGGTGTGCTACTTTATGAAATATATGGTGATGAAATATACAGAAGGGAGAGAGGGAGAAGGGGAGCGAGAGAGAGAGAGAGAGAGAGGGGAGAGAAGGGGGAGAGGGAGAGAGAGAGAGAGAGAGAGAGAGACTATATAATGAGAAATTTAGAGAGTGGTGATTATACAAATAGGGAGTTAATACATGAAAGTGCGATAGAGAGATAGAAAGAGAGGGAAGAAAACATAAATACATAAACGAATAAATAGGATATAAGAGCCACGGAGAGAAAGACAGAGAGAGAAAGACAGAGAGAGAGAGAGAGAGAGAGAGGGGGAGGAGTGGGGGGGGGGGGGGGTCGTCGCGGAAAAGAACAGATAAATCATCTTCCACTAGTGGAAGACACTCGCATTCAAATAATTGTTTAAATTATGCAAGAAATTAGCCACAATCATGTTGCATATAGACAAAATTGATAGCTCCTATCGAGACTTTAACAAGTCATGACTAGAACATGACTATTGAGAATTTGTGACAACTAACACAAAGTCGGATAGAATAAGAGTAGTTAATGGATGCCTTCCCGCAGATTCTGGATGGTTCCTTAGAGATACCTGCCTTAGTTGCCACCTAGCAACTGATGTTGCAAAGGTTAAAGAAGATACGAGATGCCTGTCATAGAGAAAGAGATATATTTATTTAAAAAATGAAAACGGGGGCGTTGCTCGAAAGAAAAAGGTCAGTAAATATGGGGAAATGGTCAAAGCCGGAAACACTTAGAAAATTTGTCAAGTAAAGAAACTAGATGAAAAGCATTCAAACAGCCTACGAAATTCCTTTATTGTCTATCTGAAATTGATGCAATATGTGTTAGAATGTCGAAAGTCTTTGACCAAAAGGATGAAAATCTTACTAAAGAAAGGATGGAAACCTTCATCTATATATTCCATCACAATCGTTTTAATTGAAAAATTGTGCAGTTTTTAATAAAGGGGATTGAAAACCTTGTAAAAAGATTAAAATCAATATTTATAAAAAAAAAAAAAAACGGCAAGGAAATATCTATAATTACATTGGCTAATCTTAAATGGCGAGGAGGTTAGTGCCCGACTGATTAATTTGAGTCTAGACTTGAGTATAAAGCTACCGTCAAATGAATGCATCGCCTAGTACCCTTTACCAATTTTCAAGTAACCGGAAAGACAATCTATTATCCTATGAATTATTCCCGATGTTATTTTACGTGTTCATAATATTGGACATGATTGCATGTTTTATGTATATTCTCATCATGCTCATGTGACGTACTTTGCGAATAGTGATAGGTGTATGAGCAAGTCCAATGTATATGATAATTTTTAATCCCATAATATTCGCAAGCATTACGTAATGTTGTCTATAATCAACATCCAAAATAAACTTTCCTTATATAAGCTGTGAATATTGTAAATCGATGATTTACTTTTAATTAAAAAACTTATCTTTTCTCATTCCAAAGTTGAATTTTTAATTTGAAATATAATCTTTGGCAATTTCTCATCTTGTCTTTAGATGTCTACAATGGGTTTAAAATTTAAATAATCGCTAAACTCCGGATGTAATTTGAACAACCATTTTTTTTCTAAAACTCACTTTTGAACTCTTAGGTCTTCTGTTTATATATCTTATATTTGATTTCTAATTATGTCAAACTATGTTCATTGTAATTGATATGTATGTATTTTTAGCTAATTTTGCATGTTCTTTATCTGTGAATTGTATCGCAATTCAGCCTTATACGGCTACGAAGATATTTTTTAATAAACCTTGAATTGAATTGAATTGAAGACTATAACTCTTATAAATATCATATATTTGTGAACAAATAATGCCAGGTACCACTAGAACTAATTAAATTTGTAGATAAAATTGCCAATTTATTTCGTACCATCAATAAATTGCAATTGGTAAATGCATTGCCAATTACTTTGCTATGGCTAATGAGTTTTAAGTTTCATTACATTCATTAATTAGTTTTAATTGGGATGTCTCTCCGAAGCACAATAGGTTTGCATTTTATGTTAACATTCTTTTAATAATACTTCGTAATTAGTCTAGACAATTTGGTATGAGTTCGCCTTGAGAGTGGAAAGTGACATTTCCAATTGAGCTTACTGATTTTTGGTGCAAACAGCTTTGAATTTTAAGACCTGGTTTAATTTTGGTAACTGCTAGTGAACATGTTGTGTACGTGCACTTATGTAAGCCCGACTGGCAATGAATGGAATGACAACTAACTCCCATTTTGTTGTGAAATGCAATACTGAGTTTAGTTTCTGTTCATGAAACAAAACAAAACGCAGCAACAATAAATCCTTTAAATTTGATCACTCCAAATGCAACGACATATTGTTGTAAACAGCATGCTTGTAATTCCAGGCAATTTTCATGCGATTACTGGCATCCAGTGGCGACAATGTGAAACAAAAAAGGTAAACCTTAAAGGGTAAAGAAACCCTAGTCATAAGTTCATTTAAATGAAAGCATAAACAAACAAAAATAAAATAATAATAAATAAATAAACAAAATGGCGAAAGTTTGAAATATGTCGAATATTTGTTAGCATTTGAGTCATTTTGTATGTTTAAACGAATGGGAAAGTTGTCTGGCATAACATCACAGTGACATTACTTATTCAGCCAATTAGGGGTTCACATACGTAGTGATTACAACTTTCCAAAATCCTTATTTCTAGCCAGATTTCTTTAACATTTCACCTGTCTGCTTCTCTATTTTTTCTTTTTCTTTTAGAGTTGCTATGAAGGTTGGGTTTTCCTTTTTAAGATAGGACAGTGTTTAAAAATAAAAGATATCTTTAATACGACGCAATTCATTTCATGACATTTTGTTCAAGTGTGTAATGGCATCAATGTTTTCTTAATTTAGCTAGTTAAATCAGACATTTCCTTGTCCTAAATTTGCATTTTCTCAATAGGTGTCTCATATTTGTCTTCTCATGTTTGTAAAAATGAAAATAAGAGCACTTAAACATTGTTAAACTAATAACTAAATCCTTATTTTACATTGACTAAGTACAAAGTATGTAGATGAGTCTTTCTTGACCTTTTGAAGTCTTTTTCTCAAAACCGTTTACAACAGTGTTCAATCATTTAATTGTTCCTTTTCTCTTTTTTCTTTCTTTTAAACAGAGTCCAGAGCAAAGTATTATCAGTATTCAACAAAAGAAGATTACAACCCGGTGAACTATACGAACTGAACAAATTGGTCAAGTACGAATTCGTATAAAATATATATAATTTCGAACCGTATTCTCCAAAGGAAAGCTGCCTGATCTGGTTCCAGGTTTAAGCCAAATTTAGTAGGCCACCAAATCATAGAGTGCCCACTTCTCTTTAACCTGCACAAATCATTATACTGTTTTTACTGTAACAAAAACAAACATCCTATCTAAATGAAACTTACATTTTTATTTTCACTTTAGGACAAAATTAATTTTCTTGATTTATTTTGTTTATACATAGTTACAGTAATTCATGCAAAAATTATCATGGCCTTTCTTGTGGTCCATGTAAACGCTGGATTAGTATGGCATCATTGTAAGAAATAGTTAGAATGAAAGCATTACATTTAATCTAGGTCCACGGATATAATCGATACTAATGTTCCATCTTTAAAAGCAACACAATTAAAATAAAATGTTACTGTTGTATTATATATAATGAATCAAGATTTAAACTTTGTATAACGTCTGTGTATATACATGTATTATTTTCTTCGCAGAGTTGCAATCAAATCTGAAATCGGGTCATTTATATCGGAATATTATAAGGTAAGGTTAACCACATTAAGTTAGCATAATGTATGTATAATCGCGTTGAATTTTGTATTACTAGGTGATCAGTAGAACGCAATAACATTTCATAGATGAATATGAAATATTATCAAAATAAAGATAAAGACTATAGTGATGGAATATATTTATTCATCCGAATGGAAACCGATTCGCACACCAGTCTGTTAAAAAAAACATCTACATATAAATGTCAATAAACTGTAAACAATTGTGTGGAAAAAACTTTTTGAACTAGATTCAGATGAACATTATTTATTTCATTGAAAATCATTAATTTAATCTCCAGTCTGGGATCGTTGGCGTGTATTGTTTTTTTCAAATGCCACCAAATCCGTGATAAATGCTTTGAGAGCTAATTGCGAACTGTTGACATTTACATGATTTACGAGTCATATTTGAAACGTGTTCTCCTCGCCAGTACAATAACCCCCCCCCCCCAAGAATATTGTAACGGAGCGAAAAAATTCACTGATTATGCTTGTTTTGTTTGATTTATTTCTTTCAGACCGACTTACATTTGAATACATTTGAAGCTTGATCTTTATACCATGAATGTGATTATGTTTTAATATTTTTTCTTTCACAGAAAAATCTGTTACAACGAGGAATGAAAAGTCTTTATGACTCACTCGATAACGATGGAGGTAAGATCGTCAAAGAAGAACATAATCATATCTTATGCTGATAACCTTGTAGCCTAATTGACAAAAATAAAATAGATATATTTGTCACGGAAGAGGTGTTATTTACCCACTTTGTTTTTAAAGATGTTATCCAATGAGTGAAGTGTCCTAATTATTGGTGTGAGCCCATTTAGACCCACAATGCTCAGTAAGTTCATTTCCCTCTTCTCACCTCGAATAACACAGTTACCCGCAATACCTGAAACTAGTTACTATTGTTAAATATCTCAGATGAAATAACTCCTTCAGATATTGCTTGTACAAAAGAAAATTATGTTTGACCTTTACATTTTTTTTAAACCGAAATTCAAGAGATATATAAACAGATTCAATTAAATATGAAATCTCATTTGTAGAGAGAAGAAATGTATAATAATTATTTATACAGACGCTTGAGATGTATCAAAGAAATGCTTGCTTATCATTAATTCGTCGAAATTGTGCAATTGACTCATGTTTTTGTGATGAATCCCTTCTACTGTTCACTATAGGTCAAGGCTTACTTTCCAGTCTAGCCGAGCTTTGGAACTACTTCTTCACGGAGATACTGCCAACGTTGAGGGCGATATTCTACCCAGTCCAGGTAAAGCAAATACTAAGGCCTGTGATTAGGGCCCGATGAGGGATTTTTTCCCGGCACAATATTGTTTCTCAAATAAACTAATAGGGAGCACTGGTCTTCATGCTATGCCTTTAGAGAAACAGTGTTGAAAGCAATTTCATGTCACCATTTTACTCTTTCACTTTTCTTCTTTTTATTTGATTGAATTGCCTTTTTGTATGAAGAAATATGTTTATTTTTGTAAGCATATATACCAAGTAAATACCACAAATTTCCATTTTTTTTTATTGGCAATAAAATATGAACCTTATGCACCTGCTAAGGGTGCGCTAACGATTTCTTAATTTTTTTTTTTTTTTTTTTTTTTTGGGGGGGGGGGGGGGATTTTATCTATGAACATTATAAATATAAATGATTAATTTTGAGGTTAGTTGATGGTAAAATATAACTATTGGGTTCTCTTCTCCAGACCAAAGGCCATACGATGTATCAGCTTTCATTACTTGGATTCCGTGATCACGTGGTACTACAACTGCCATTAAAAAGTAAGTCCTGTATCACTCTTTGAATGTTTGAAATAGATTAATGGAGCCTTGCAAGTGATGTGGATCATCATCATCATCATCACTCTAGGGCTAGGGGAATTAACCTCAAACTACATGTTAATTTCAGTATGTGGGCCATTTAAAACCTTATCTAAAAAAATATAAAACATCGTACATTTGACGAAAGGGTACCCGTAACTCTTCTTCAGAACCCTTCGTCTGTTATAGCGGCTCTAAGAATGTTCAGAACGTTGCCATTGTGTTTGGGCACGGCCCGTTCTGTGACGTATCGCATGGAGTCGATCAGTACGTTGGATTGCGTACGTACGTTTCCCTGCTGTAAACTACAAACACATACACTCACGCTGCATCGAGCTCGAGCACACGCGGTGAAAACAAAGATTTTTCAATAACCACCGCAATTCGTAACAATAAAATAGCACTATTTTAGCGTGGACTTCCATACATAAACGTAGTGATCCTTAGTTTGAGTCATCTTCATAATATACATTTAGAAACAAATTCTCAAAATGCAGATTCTTTGATAATACCAATGCCCCCTACTTAGTGTGCTTAAAGGTTGTCAAAGCTTTATCTTGATTTCAGTTTAAGTCGATAATGGCGTAAAATATCACGGAGAGAATAATCCCATAAACTATTTAATTTATTTATGATAATTCATTTGATTGACAGAGGCATTATCGTCGTGCAACGAGAGTGAGATCCCGCCCGAGATCACCCAGATGTTGCTCAACCTCCACGCGGTCCACGACGGCGGGACTTACGCCACCACACCGTCAGAAGAATACGTTCAACTCGAGGCCATACTCGCAAAGGTCGTCTGTCCGTTCCTCGGCTCAAAGGGGTTGTACCTACGGATGGGCGAGGACGACCCCGCCGTTCCCGCCCGCGACCCCAATGCCAAAGAAGATGGTCAGGGAACACCGGGGAGTAATAGCAGCGGAACACAAGGGCGTAAATACGGTCAGTATGTGCCCCGGAGGTTGAGGCATAAAGATAGTCTAGGGATTCTACGAGCAGGGGGTATCACTCTGCAGGCTCTGATACTACATGTAAATTAATACATTATGACGAAAAGGGCGAAGAAGGGGGTTTGGAAACCAAATAAACCAAATCCTCCCAGAAACATCTGAGACAGATCTCAAATAGAGGGGATATTATTAGGGGGGGGGGGGGGGATTAGTAAAATATGGTAAAAGTTTTTCAATCAGATGGGGTTATTTGTGTTCGGGAAACGACAGGATTCTTCACCATCATAAAGACGCGTCTCAGTTTCGAACCGGAGTCTTGTCCAAAGCCTGGACTGTATCCGTGTCGCGCGTCCAATCAGCTGAGAAAATAATACACCCTCAACGTTGAACCGGAGACAGTCCTTGTCTCTCATTCTCTACCCGGATGGTAGTTTAGGGGATCGCGCGATGACTAGATACACCGCACTGTCTGTGGGATGCGTGTAAGGGAGGAGATAATTTAAGGATTAAAAAATAAATAAAAACGGACAGAATCTGGACTAACCGGAGTCCAGAAGGGACCCCATTTTCACTTTTGTATACAAACGGCTAACTCATAAGTCAGATTAATATAGGTTTTTTTTTTAAGCGGCATGAGTAAGGAGTATTAACATGAGCAATTTCCCCTTAAGAAATCTAGCGGTGAACAATGTGTTCGGGCTAGGAAAGTCTACGTGAAAATCTACCTTTTCAGATACAGAATGGTAAAATTTTTCTATCATTAAAGATATCTTTTGTACCAAATTCACCAAAAAGAAAAAACGTTCTGTGGTCATATTACTTGTAAAATTTCCTTAATTACAGTAATCATAACGTGGAAACCCAGGAGGGGAAGGGGTTTAACAGTGGTTCAAATACGGACTGTGGTTCGCCTTTCGGATGGATATATAAAAGGCCGATTGCCGACGAAAAATGAAAGACACCGAAATCATACTTGATAAATTTGATACCTGCCGGTAGTGCCTAACTGACAAAAAAAAAATACAAATACATTCCCGAATTTGATCAAAAGTGCCTTGTCTTTCGAGATGTGAATTGGTCTAGCGGTGCGTGCGATCAGTTCTTTGTCTTCACCAATAAACTCACTAACAGACCCCGGGTTCGAAACTGAGTCATGACCTGTAAATGGTGACGTTAAAGGTCGGTCTACTGACTGACTCGATTGATGAACGGCTGTAAAAAGAAAACACCCCACCAGTTACATCTAAACGCCCACGTTCTGTGAGGTGCTCTATTTGGGTTTAACGGATAACAATTTAACCTACTAGTAATTTTTATACAAATTAATGATGGTTATAATATTTAGAAACACCATTCTAAAGGTGATCTTCCAAATGGTCGTGCCAAAACTATATTTTCTGGAAAGTTTTTAACTGTAAAGCACAACATGGACAATCAAAGTTATTGCATTTCTATCATTATCTATTGAATTGGGGAAACGACTTGTACCACTTTTGATATATTCACTGTTAATTTCAATATGAGAACATAACCAAAAACAAAACAAAAAAAGAAAAGAAAGAAAGAAGACAACGGTATTACCATGACCACAGACAATTTAATAGCTCAGGAATAAATTTTGTTTAGTTAGTACGTTGTACAAATTTGCTTTATCATCTATTTCATTGAAGTTATAAATTGATTTGTGTTAATTATAATCTTTGTAAATTTTCATCGGGTCTGGAACAACCAAATCTTGGTGGCAATATGAATGAACATTATTATGCTACATTACACATGTCTCGCTAATAACTTGCAATACATGGTAACCTGCTGGATTGACCTATTGTAACATCATCATTTTGGTACCTCGTTTTAATCTAACAATCCCTTCTGTTTGGCGTCTTATAAAAGGCTACGGTAAATTCAACTTGCTCGCAACATAAACAATTGCAACTTAAGAGATTAGAGTTTGCGAGTTTGCGAACAATTTGCAATCAGTCTGGAATCAATCGCAACAACTCAGTATGAGACAAAGTCCTGGTATTGGTCTTATAATAACACGTATTGTTGATTTTAGTCGTTGTTCCAGGCCCAATGTATTCTTTTATATCATTATGCTATGTTTTCATATTTCCTATATTATATTCCAATTTCCTCCATTATTGTATCGTAAAATCTTCCAACCTGTTCGCTCAAAATCCATTTTAGATGTAGCAGGCCACACTATCCTTGTCAATGTAGATTTTATAACGTAGTACCCGACTTCTTATCTCGAAGCACTCGTTTTAAAGAATCTGTTCTCACTAGCCTTTTGTGAAGCTAAATTTAAAGCTTTTTATTTAGACATCCCCTGTCTTTTGTTACTGAGTGTACAGTAGTTTTTTTATTGATAATTTTACTGTCTCACATTCTGCTATAGCAAAACGCGTTTGATTTGCTGAGATTTCTTTTACTTTTCGATCCAAAATTTTAACACGTTTCCCGATTTTGTCTTTTTGTTCCATTCCTCTCCCCATTCAAACCATCCGTGAAATAAACTCCCCTTTCACTTTGTCACCGTCAAGTGACGTCATCACTTACCGGTTGCATGTCCCATTTCATTGGTCCAATGTTGTCACGTGGTGATCCATTGTTTTTGATGTCGTCACCATTCCTGCGCAATAGCTCCAGGGTATGTCCCGCGCGCATTCGCGTCACCGAGTTTAGCCTTCCTGCGCAGATCCAGATTCAGCTTTCGCATTAACAATGTCAGACGAAAGTTCATGCGCATGCGCTTCTCCGACGATACTCCCGATCACCCTTCTGAATCTATGCCTGAGTTAGATAATGAAATGATCGAATCTGCAAAGGCAAATAGCAATGGCTGAAATTAGTATTAAAGACAAAGGCTTTATTTCTTTGCTTGCTCTTCTTATTGGTGGAGGGAAAGATGAAACTTGCAAACAGGGAAATTTAAGTTGCCTGGGATAAATGTGGTGCATTTGTATTCTCTAACCAAAGACAGCCTTACGTATTAACCAAGCGATTTTACAGGAATTAGTCTTGTCATTTTGAGACAAACTCTTATACCATTTTTCCTTGTACTGCTTAGCTTTGCTTTCCGGCGCTGCTGATTACATTTTAGCCAGAACAAACTTTTAAACTCAGAGTATGAGTTGAGCTTAATTAAGGCTCCTAAGTTGATAGATAGTATCGCGTCTGGTGTCTAAATGTAACCCAAATTAGTCACAAGGTCCAATTAATAGACGCATTCCCTAGAGACTGGTTCACCATCACTTCTCATTTGCACGAATCATCACTTGTCACTATGTTCATTGTTGAACCCATTTAATCCAAAGCCGAAGATTCTACACCATTCCGTTCTATTATTTGCAATACGAATTGTATTTCAATTGAATTTGTTTATTACGTTGTTAATTATGATTTCTTTTTTATTTATTTTTGTTTCCCCCACACCATTATATTGACTAACAACAAAATGCATGATTGTATATATAGAAACGTACCCAAAATCCAGAGTTTGCCTGAAAGTTATCAACATAAACTCACTTGATTAATATTGTTATTTCTTTCCTTTTATTCACCCTTTCCCCAACTGAAATATTTTTCATTCATTATTGGTCAATTTTTCCATTGTTCACGCGCCATCTTGAATATTCAAATTCATCCGGAAAAAATCCATCCGCTTCCGCAATACTGTATTAAACGTATTGCTTGCTGTATCTGTCTTGTGTGCTACCGGTTTTTTCTGCTTTGTAATACCGCTATGCAATTGTCACACATTTGTTCGCTCTCAAAACATTTATAACTGTGGTTTATTTAAGAAATCCTTCCCCAAATCTTCTCTATTCATTATCTTATTGGCATAAATTGCGACTATTGATCGAATGAACATCATGACCTTTTTATAAAAACAAATCATTGTTGCTTTTTGATTCTTTTTTAATTCTTATTCACTTTTTCTTCACCCTGCTCTGCCGTCTGAATCAATTTTCCTGTTCCAAATTGCACGTCACTTTAATTTACCTCTTTTGCAAACAAACACACAAATTGTAATTAAATAAATGCAAATGTAAATGCGTATTATTTTTGACAACGACCTATTAAAACCCACTGTCTTTTATTCTTTTTAAATTTGTCTCTTTAAATCCTTTCTTCTCTCTGCGTGCTTATATCTGTCGGTTCATTCTTTGCTAAGCTGTGGTTTATTTTTGTTCTGCTATTGGTCTGTTGAGTGTATATTTAAAAAAACATACAACAAATAAATAATTTGTTTGTAATCTTCGCATTTTCTTTCGCTTTTCTTACCCATGATTTCGTGGGGGACTATGAAAATCCTGTTATCTTTTCTGTTTGTGTATACTACATTTGCAAGTTTGTTTTCGTGTATCCTGTATGTTTCTGATTATTGCACTCATTCTGTAACTCTATTTCATTCTGTTACCGCTTATATACTTTTAAATCTCGGCATCTACCCGCAAGAATGCTTCTTCATATATAACTATATTTATTTTCCTTTTTAGCACCATGTCATTTTCATGCACTTTCATCCCCTTCACTCCATCCAATCACTTTGAAATTCCAATATAACAAACATCTATCCTTTCAATATCTAAATACATCCCTTCGATTCATATATTTAAAATGAACTCCATCCCCATCCAAAATCCATGCACTATAACATTCTTTGGAAAACCCCGCCCGAAACGCATATATGCATATATATATATATATACATACAAATTCAGACCGACAACGATCCCTGCAGAGGCTTAGCCTCCAAATACAGCCGTCCAACATGGATTACCTCGCGAACACGTCGGGTGGGTCCACGCCTTCATCGCCGTCGTCCCACGCACGTGAGAATGTGGCTGCCAGGAGACTACAGATGACTCATCAGAGGAGGGGTAGCGCCCTCGTTCTCAGTTCGCTGGAGACGCTGGAAGAAGTCGACCGCTCGGGTTTTGTCGGATCTTGTCGGGAGAGGAGACGGTCGAAATCGGAAATCGAGTTTGACGGGAGGAGATAACGGCAGTGTACATTCAAAGTTATTTTCTTCCATGTACGATTATAAGAGCACTGCTATAAAAGCTTCCTGTTGAACGTAGATTGTCAGAGGTATACCTTATCCGAGACCAAGCAGCGGATATACAAATATTTATAACGTTACCTTTTGTCAAAATTGGACCAAACTTGTTAAAAGTGTGATCATGAAATATGAACAATTCTGATATCTCTCTCTCTCCCTCTGTTAACCTCTCCTTAACTCATTACACCGAACATTTACTAATTATTATTACTAACAAAGTGATTGCAAAGTGTTACGATTCCTTTCTCCTAATTTGGCTACCCTTTCAGAAATATATTATCACAAAGCTAATGGCATTTGGGTTAATGATAACATGCAGATCATTGATTTAGAGGGTTTTCTTTTGCTTGGATACTGGTGTGCATTCCCTGATACTAGTTTGTCTGTCTATCGATTGTATACGCAATATCATTTGCAATGGATGTATTCTTGCATATGGCTAATTATAAAGGGAAAATATGGGGCTATCTGTAATCGTTACATTTTGGGCTCTCTTTGCAATAAATCGTGCACAAACAGCACATTCTGCACCTCTACATCTCTGTTTTTAGGTCTACTTTAGGATTAAAACAAACTCAAACCTAGACAAGTATTATGATGAACAGCGTCCTCTGTCGTCCTTTTTGTTATACTTTTTTGGGGGTTTCTTTTCGTATGCCATGATAGTGATATTTTTGTAGGTCTCACTAAAACAGTATGTTAATCTTTCGCGGTTTCGAGAAGGTGTTTCCAAATCAAATGTGTATTCTTGAAGAAAAAAAATAATGGTAGTTTAGGCTCCTCACTTGTGTAAGCTTTATATAGAAATCCAACTTTCACGAAAAAGGTGAGCGACCCAAAGTGTCATAACACTCAGCTGCTGGTATTATGTCTACGAGAAAGTAATCGCAATATTGTCGGCAGTCTTTTAAAATCAATTTAGTAGAAATAAATATCTCCATGCGATGCCAATGATTGTATTTCTTTCATAATTCTCCCTTATATAATATATTATAAAGATATAGTTCTTATTCCTGGGTTTCATTTCCCAAAACATGTCATCAGTAACAGATGACAGTTTTTGTTATAACTATAAGCTAGTGCAATCCTTGTTTCTGATTTTTGTCATTTTCATGGAACCAAATGCTTTGTGAAACGAGTCCCAGGTACAATGTTTAGTTAAAATCCATTTTCATATGTTTTTCGCAAATATCGCGATAAATTGGGAATCGAACAAAGTAGACAAATATAAATTTGTATTTTAGCACCGTGGTTAGGTTGTTCATTTTCATTGTTTGACGATTATGTAATCAAATCTTTCTGATGGTAATGTACTTTGTCAAAATATTCGCTGAAAAAAATGCTATATTTCTTGAACCGTCATATAACTTGCAAACCTGTATAAGCGACCACCTCTCTATCGTAGTAAAACTGATACAAAACAAAAACATTTTTTTGTTTCTAACTTGGCAAGACACCAATCCTTCAATATAATATGATGTTTAGTTATTTCCTTCAATTTTCTTTGCTTTACTAGGGATAATTATATTCCTCTTGGTGTCTGGCAAGGTCGGCAGTGCCGAAGGCTCTATCATATCGTTTCCTATAAGCCAGAAGGGCACCTTTTTCAATTACTTTGACTTAGAGGTAACGCCCCTCTAGCACCTAGCAGACGATATTTATAAAAAGATGACTGTGTGTGAGTTATCCAAAATATGATGAACAAAAAAATAATTTGTTATTTGTATTGGAGGAGAAGAGGAATATCATTATGTTACATTCAAGTACATGTAGATGTATTATTAAACCATGCATTGGGGATATTCATCCTCTATATAGATTAGGCCTAAAATGAAATCCATATTTTTGTGTCTCTAACATAAGATTTAAAACTGTAACATCCAGTTGAATATGCAAACTTTAACTCGTCTCAATGGATTAAAAAAAAAGAAATCTCCTTTTCATGAGGAATGGAGTTAAGCAGAGAGGCTGTAGCTCTGAAAAAATATTGAATAAGAGAATTTTGAACAGACCCATTCCAAAAGCATATGATTAATTTGGAGGGCTTACTTAATTCCATTCGTCCTTTTTTTGTTATCAAATCTGTTCATTAAACAGCTAATTAAACATAAGGAGAAAGAAAATTAATATCACAATCTCCGAGTGAGGATCACTTATTTACCTTTTGATGACTTAAGTTTAAAATTACCAAATAAATGAATGTGTGGATATTTTATCTGTCATCTACGACATTTAAACTGATGGCCATTTATAACATCGTCTATTTGTAGCTAGACTATTAATTGTTATCATACAGATCCGAATTAATGCATTAATTTGTACCATATGATTGTACCACTGTCCTTTTTATGTTCCTCGTATCTCACTTCGAAAAATGGTTATGCAACTATTTAATTTTAAGATGCCAAATATATTGATTTATACGAAACTTGTTGTGTCATCAAGTATATTGCAATTATTATACTTGTCTTATAACTATGTCCTATTTTTATGACCTTAACGTCTTGAAGACGTTATCAAATGCAGTTTTTAGATAATTTCTGCTATATATGAAATGCTTTTTGATCTATGTACAGAGATGAATTATAGAAGATAGTAAAGAGAAATATATGTGTATATAATTATGATGTATTTTGCTTTTATCTGATGTCTACGACATCGAAATCTAAGAAAGTATTCCAAGAAAAAAATAAGAAGATTATTGAAATAAAATGGCTTACAAAAACTTCAAATCTGTTGCTTATTTATCTTTCTTTACGTCTGCTTCCTCATATTTATGCCTAATACCATTATAAAAATGGAGGAACGGCGACTACAACATTCTATTTTGGGGGGTGGTAATACTGCCTTCGATATTACATGAATTGATCGATAACAAGTGGTTAAAATATTTGCGAGCAGTTCAAGAAATAAGTTACCATGTTGTTTCCCTTTGTATTTCTTTCCAAATAGTAACATTGCAATGTGACATATATCCCCTACTCGGTGCATGTTCATACAATTTAATTGCCTCTCAAAAACTGTGGATAGAAGTTTATACAGTCCCTCAAAATATGGAAGATCATCTTTAACGACATGAAATATCTCAATTCATCAGCAGAAAATAAGTATTTTTAATGTATAGCAAAGTACCGACAACAAAAAAAGGCAGAAGGGGAATTGTTATAGACGTCTTTGTGCAAATTTTATTTTATAAAGGTGACATTTAGGGCATTGAATCATTGAACCTGAAACATGGCGACCTGTACTGAAATAAATTGTGACAAATGATTCTGAAAAGGGTTTGAACTCACACAGGGAGCGTTTCCCATACTATCACATAGAATTACATTGCTATCTCTTACAGTGATAAACCTGACACGGTGCTGTACAACAATGACATATTTCGATAGAAAAAGGATGGTTATCTTGTCGTTTCCCCGAAAAAACATGTACATGGCAAATAAAAGGCCAAGGTCACAGACGTAGGTACAACAAATTAAAGCGCTATAACAGGTGGTTATACATGTATCTTCTTACACTTGCCGCGAGAGGTAAATAACATATAATTTAAAGATGAAGTTGAGTTCTGGTCATGCGATTGCATTGTGAAAGAAACGGTGTGGAATCGATCAGAAAAGGTTGATCATCTAGCATATAAGAATTTGTTTGTATTACAAGGTTCTGGAATCATCGAAATGATAAGAAATTTGGCCAAGTCTTGGTCAAGTTACAAACACTGTACACAGAAAGATGTATATGGGACTACACGAACACGTGCCGTAAAAATCCTACCCCGGAGTTTTACGATGTTACATGACATATTTAAAATATGAAGGCATTTGAAGAGCCATGCTTTTCAGGGAACATGTCTTATCTGATGTTCTTCCACACTTGCATAATAAGAACGATAACGCTCACAAATTATTTTTCACCTCTTCCCAGAACTCAAACTTATCTTTAAGTATTTTTGTCAAATGGATGTAGAATGATCAAAAGATTAGGAGGAAAGATTGACATGAAATGGAATAAATTCGAATCGATCACTCAATCAAAGAGGTAAATATATTTAAATACTAGGTATCATGAAAGATGAGGTGAGGTGGTTAATATATAAATGATAGTTTAGGTAATGTGATGTGAGCGCTTATATTATTGATGATGGTGGTGATGATGATGATGATGAAGATGAAAGCGGGGTGGTAATACTTATCATGATGATGACGATGATGGTGGTGATGATGAGGATGATGATGAACATGATAGTGATGATAAAGAGGATGGAGATGATGGTGGTGGTGGTGGTGATGATGAAAATGATTACGATGATGATGATGAAATAGATCATAATGGTGATGATGATGATGAGGATAGCAATCAAAATTATTTTGAACATCATGATAATGATAATGAACAGGGACATGGTCAGCAAAATATTAAAGGTAATACAAAGTTTTGGGAAATTTTGAAAATTGTGTGGATAGTGATTCTTTACAATTTTGATATATTTAGATGCCCCTGTGGATGTATTATAAGCACTAGCAGTTTAGCCCCTAAAACACTTCTGCCCTAGAGAAAAATTGAATATGAAAATTTACCGGTGCTCCCGGTAAATTTTGATAAATTTTAAATAGCGCCTTCGGCCGTACAATGATACATGTAGCTGCGACCATGAAAGTTTCAGAATATGTAGTTGTGAAATATAATTTCCAAATGGGAATAGCAAATCGGTCTATTTTAGTCAAGAAACATAGTTTTATATGAATGTGTGTGTGTATTTGGTTTTTACAGACGTGTATCAATCAGATATGATTATTTACGTCTGGGGACCGACCTTTAACGTCACCATCCGAAAGACGTGACTCAGTTTCGAACCTGCGTCCTCGGCTGAATCAGTTTGTAACTTCCACTGTAAGCTGGATTACAGGCGCACGCCACAACGCCTAGTTGTGGCGTTGTGAATTTTATAGCTTAATTAATATCTTGACCTTGAGAGTTTATTATTCACGATTTCAAAAGTTTGGACTCGATTTCAATCGCGACAACGATAACTGAATATGGTAGGATTGCATATGCTTCCAATATGTTCATTTGAACCAAATTCATGACCCCATACTAAAACTTTGTAATACCTTTAATCAAATTATAACAGTCGGAGACTCAGAAGTAAAATCATCAAACTGTGTGTTTGGCTCGATTCTCGTTTAAACATGGAGAAGCACATATGCCTTTTATATGTTACATACATACAATCTCCGTCACATTAGACCGGAAAAGCACAAAAAGGCTTTTCCATGCATTTATTTATTCGCAGTAGGCAATCAAAAATAACTTGAATAGCATCTCATTAATTGCATATTAAACTTCAATATTACTTCACCTTAATCAAAAAACTATTGTACACATTTTCGTGAATGCTAATCAGTTTATTTTCTGTTTATTTTCAATCATTTCAAATCTATGTTACGTGAAAATTGTTGTACATACCCCAAAAGTCGGTCGGTTCATTTATGTGATTCATTACAAAAATAAAAACTTCAAAACAATTAGAGACGTAGGTTGAAAGATAGTCACTTCCAGATATAAAATATCTCCTTCACGAAGAGAAAGCGTTCTATTACAGAGTGCTTTGATAGAGGAGCATTTAAGCGTTAGTAAAATCGTACCGACAAAAAGAACCTGTAATTGACAGATTTCCAATCTAACCTTTAAAGCGCATGCCTCCTTAAAGGGAAAGTTGAGTTCTGTTGCAGAGGGCGCTTCACAAAATATTTTTTGTGAGATAGTGAAAAACTGAGTGTCAAATTTGAAATAACATAGAATTTAAATTACACAATCATCTTTGTTTGATCAAAATCGGTTCAGAGACTGCTGAATATCCATAGATATAACAATTTATAATATTTGTGTACCACCACAAATATTCGATAATTTGAAAAAGCCATTGTAAAAACGAAATAGCGCCTTTTACGTTGTATTTCACCCAAGCCGATGTTGGCTTTTTTGTTGGATTTTTCGTGTTGGTTATTACGCACAACCAGCCGGCCCATGTATTGTTATTATAAATAAATTAATTAACGGTTACCATATTTTGTTGAAAGTGGAGCTGGATTTGTATGATCGTTTTGGCTAAATTTCACACATTTGGGGGTTATTACCTTCATAGCAATGTTAGATCCTAAAAGGGCACTAGAAATGTCATAGACACGAATAAGAGCAATAACCATGCACTTTGAAGGCATTCGCGGTCTGAAAACAGAACTCAACTATCCCTTTAACACGTAAGAGCTAAAACACCATGCAGTATCCTCACGCACGCGTCGTTAAGGACTGCTCTTAGAAAGTCAAAAAGCATCAAAGATGTTTGCTTAAAGTTACGTATTAAAAGCGGTTTGTCTACAGCCCCACTTTGGCGAACTTTATGTGGCTGTCTTCACACAAGAAACCTGTTTGATAACGGTTTTATTTGTCATGACGCAAGTCTAAGAGAAGAGGTAAAGCATAGTGAACGTCTTATTCACGACCTCCGACCCACTTTTACTTAACTCTGTTTGTAGAAAATAGATATAAGTAAAATCGAGAGGAATCCTTGAAATAAACTTAAAAGAAAGGAACTTAAACTTCCACAAATCTGGCTTGGCTGATAGACACTGTGATTTCGGCGGAATGTGAACGCAACCGGTCAAGGGGACTGACTTCTTCTACGTCATAGGGAGTAAAATGCTTCTTTGAGAATGAAAATGACGTACACCATAGACGGATACGAGACAGGGACGATGAAAAATGGCCAAAGCCTTTCCAGATCTTAAATCCCCACACTTCAAGCTTACAAAAGGTTTTCATGGCCGAGCAGGAATCACTTGTGCAACACTCAGCATTAGAATAATAGAAAATTTTCAAATACTCATTGTTAGCATAGATTAGTATTCAAAATTGAAGGAAAATCAAGAAAATATAGTCTCTTGATTAACATTCAATGTGAAATTGTTTAATTGGCTTCAACTTGATTTCTAAGAGAAAAATGTAGAATAAATTTGATATGGAAAGACGAAATTGAATGAAGAGCAAATGACCAGTAGAATAATGTTGTTATCTGAAAACAAATACAAATCAATGCAATATTTAAATGATTTGTTTTTCTTCTAGATGAAAATATCTGGGTATCTTTTCAGAATTATAATCTTGATAACATATTCATGATCATTCTTCAATTCTTTAACGTAGAGGGATTCTTAATGATGAATGTATTTTGTAATTAAATTTGCAAATGATAATGTTAACATTTTCATAATAATGATTCATTGAAATTATTTTATAAGTACCTTGTCAGTGAATTAAAAATGTCTATGTTTCCCATCCCCTCCAAAGTATTGAGTATCGAGTATAAGACCAACTGTGGCTTGAAGGTAATTACAGGAGCGTAAATCTCACTTTTGCAAAGTTTCTTCGAACCTGTTAATGAATTGCTTTTGATTTATCATGTTTAATGATGCATTCTCTGAAATTACATCTTATTTGACGCAGACACGGCTTTGGTGGTTATTGTCTAATGTTAAACCAGGGTGCAAGAAGGCGACACATTGCCCCAACGCTTTACTGAAACGTTTCCCTTTCGAGAAAATGAGATAATCAAATCGAACATACCCGAAGAGGAATGCGCTTGAAATTTGTGACTTTGCGTTCTTATGTCTGCCAATTGTTGCGTCTCGGAACTCGTCTGCTTGTATACATCCAGGCCATCGTGGCGTCTGAG